GCAATCCTAAATAACTCTTCTACTTAGATTTTATTTTGAGAAATATCTCTGCAAGACATTTATGTTAATAATACATGTTTAATTTATGTCTTTTCTAGGGTGATAAGAGGGAGAAAGGGCAGATATTTACAGCAAAATAATACCCCTTTTGTTCAAAAATTTAGAGGAAATCTTGATTTTATGTATGCTTATATGCTCTCTGAACTTCATTATAATTTTAAAATCTTTTAAAACATAAGTTGGATTTATTAATATAATCCTGTAAAACTGAAAAGAACACATAATAATAAGGCTTATTATTTCTTTAATACTTTAGATATTTTGCTTAAGGAGTGTTTTAATCCTTTGAAGGTAAACTTCATGGAGCGAACGCCTCATTTCCTATCAATGCATAGATTTAAAATTATATTCTAGATTTTATTCCTCAGACATTTTTTTTTCTTTGAATAAATTTATATATACAGTGGATTTATATATGTAGTGTATTTATGGCGTTGCATTAAGGTGACATTGCAGAATAGATCAATTCAATCTACTGGATTTCTTTAATAAGCTTTTAGATTGTAAATAAACTTTTCATATTAAATTAATTTCTCAGAAGTTCATTTTTAAAAAAGTCCTAATGCTTAAAACATTTATACTTAGGTTTAGTTTTCCTATTAGCACATAAGAAATAAATTAACATTTTAGTTCACCTTGTGTTTTTGCAGGAAAAAAAACATTCTTTCCACAATAAAATTTGATTGATGTTAATGTAAGGTTAGCTGAAAAGGCTTAGGAACACAGATAAATCTTGTGGTTCACTGTTGTCTAAATTAATTTTGATTTTTTTAATTTGAAATATAACCATGGAGAGGAATAAATCTGTCTTTGTATAAAATTTATTTATTTTGAATATAAGTATTAGTAAGATAAATCCTTTTTCATCTATCATAGCTGCTTTTTATTCTAGAAAAAACAACAGGCTAACCTCTTAACTCTCTCCCAAACCACAGATCTGCATGTGTGTACTTGAGTGCAGTTCATCTGCATGTATTTCCCCGGACCTGACTATGAGTAGGTATCTGTGCATGCATGCACAGAAGTACAGAATAAAGAAATGTTTTTTTTTTCTTAAGCTTTTATCATTGGAGGACAGTTCATAAGAAAATGGGAGAGGAAAACCAAACCAATTGAATTGTTGTGGTTTAACCTGGCAGACAACTCAGCACACTTTGCTGAGCCCTTTGCTCATTCCATCCTGCCTCCTCAAGCAGGATGAATGAGAGAACTCAAAAAAAAAAAAACAAAAAACCACAACAAAAACCCCCACAAAAACAAAACAAAACAAACCCAAAAGAAAACAAAAATCTATTTACTAAGACAGAAAAAGAAAGGAAAAATAATGGTAGTATATCCTAACTTTAATATATATATGTGTATGTGTGTATTTAATATATATATATATGCTTTGTATATATGTATACGTATAGTGTTTGTGTGTGCATATATCTATATAAAGATATATAGGTATAAGTATATATTTACAAAACAAGTGATGCACAATGCATCTGCTCACCACCTGCCGACTGATGCCCAGCCAGCTGCCAAGCAGCAGCTGTCTCCCTGGCCAACTCTCCCCAGCTCTGTAGTTTCACATGATATGATATGGTATGGAACATACCCCTTAGCCAGTTTAGCTGTCCTGGCTCTGTCCTGTCCCAGCAATTTGTGCACCCTCAGTCATCTTGCTGTCAGGCTTCTGTGAGAAGCTGAAGCAACTTTGTCTCTGTTCATTTCTCCTCAGCAACAACTAAAGCATCTGTGTATTATCAGCATCACTTTTCTCTCAGAGCCAAAATATAGCATTATACCAGCCACTATGAAGAAAATCAATTCTGTTCCAGCTGAGATCAGTACAGCCAACTAAAAAGCCAACTAAATAAGGATAAATAGGAATAATATAGATGTTGAAGGTATAACAATGTCTTGTCTGCAACAAACCTAACAACCAAAAAGCTTCTTTACCTAGCATTGCACAGAATGGCTTGGATTGGAAGGGACCTTAAAGTGCATCTAATTCCAACATCCCTGCTGTGGGCAGGGATGCCACCTACTAGGTCAGTTTACCCATTCACTTTGAAAAAATGTGATTCCCTTGGTGTTTGTTGGAATTTTCCAATGGAATTTTGTGATGTTCAGGCATTATTCACAACTTGTATTCATAAAACTGCATAAAATAGCAGTACCCAACATAAAAATGACGGAGTCCAGCTTATTGTTGGAATTCGCGTATGGTGATGGGAATAAAAGCAAGTCTTTTTAAGTTTCTCTTAAAATGTAAAGGGTTGAGTAAAATGTTGCTTTGGAAAAAGTCCTTCCTTTAGAATGTTGGTATAAAAGTTCACTTTGTATTTCTGTTATAAATTTTATGTTAAGCATAGTTCTTAATTATGTTCATCTTCAAATTACTTTCATGTTCAAGTGGTATAATTCTTCACGGGGAAAAAAAAAATGTATTGAAGAACTTCACTGGGATGGGTATGGATGCACATCTCCAGAGTTAAGGCAACAAGAAATGTATCAGAGGAACTGTCCTGCTCTATACTGGAGCCTGTGAGATAGCTTTATGGCTGGCATTCTGGGCTTGGGAAACATGTAGATCTCACTGGAAACAATTATTTAGTAATATCTTAGTCTACTTGTACAGGAAAAGGTAGCTTACGTTCTGTTTGTAAATTTTATCAGCTGTATCATCAAAAAGGTTATTTGATGTAAGATCATCTTATTGATTGCATTCAGTTTATTTTTCCTCCCCCCAACTTTTATTGCTGTCATTTTGCCAGCAGTTTAGAATTCATTAATTTTTGCTTTGATCCCAGCTGATCTTCTTTTTCTTCTTTTTTCCCCTCTATATTTGCTCTTTTATTAAAGCGAACTATTTACTCAGATTTTTCACTTTTGCTCCACCATTTCTCTATAGAAAACTATTTCCCCTGTGAATTTCTTTTTTTTTTTTTTCATTTTTATTTGAGTGTACCTCATTACAAGGGCATGGATTCCCTTGTATGTTGAAATTATTCCTTGGCCTCTACATTTGCACAGAAGGGATCAATTTTGCTTTTTACTGGTAATTCGTATCAGTTTCTGGGTTTAATTTCTCTTCAGCATGAACTAATTCAGTCTGCACTGAGAAAATTATCTTGCAATTCAGACACTTGGCATTTTAAGATGTATTTCCCAGTTTATTGAATATAAAACAGTCTAGATTCAAGTCCTGGTTTCAACCCTGGAAATTAGGTGAAGTGTGAACCTGAATCTGCACTTCTGACATAAGTACACCTGAGTACTGAAGTAGCACAAACTAGGATGAGAATATCCACTTCTTCAAAAATCATCAAGAAGTTATTAAATTACTAAATTAAAAAAAGCAATCCATTTGCACCTGTGGAAATGATTAAAATCCTTTCAAAATTTTATTTTGAAGGGTTTTTTTTCTACCGAAGAAAGTGAACAGGAAAGTGTTAAGTACTACATTATTGCTGCCCTTCAATATCTTTCTAATGAATTATTTTTATGGAATACATTTTAATTTGTTTCACTCGTCACTGATTGCAATACATTTGGAATACACTGAAGGCAGTAGTTTTCTTTAAATCATTCCTTAGGCTACATGTAAGAGGAATGAGATAGGTAAAATAAATAATTTCTCCTCATGGCCTTAGCTTCAGAGAATGTCCTGACTCTAAAAGAATGGTTTTCTCAGAATTGATGGTTCTGCTTTCTAGTCTCCTCTATGCACACAGTTAAAGAAATAAAATGAGGTAGTGTCCAGAGCCTGCTCTCCAGCTTTTCTTGTTTTGTCTCTGCTGAGAATTCCTGTTAGCCTTGAATTTCCTTGGTGTATTATCACAAATGCCTTGCTGTGTATTTACCCCCACTGAAGGCTCCATGAGATTAGAGATCATGTGCTCCCTTAGCTTAATGTTCTTGGCCTTTTTCAGATGGTTGACAGTGCTGAATGATTACAGCAAAGCAGCAATTATCTACTAGCTACGTTATGCTTATTTCAAGGAGAAAATAGATGTTATTTGAGATGAGTAATCTGGACTGTGTCTTTGTGCTGAATAAATGTAGGAGACCAGCCTGTAGTGAGTCATGATTCATTTCCCTTCTGTTTTGTGATACTTTCTGCATGTTTCCCCTGTGCTCTCCTTCTGAATGCTTAACTGTGCACAGAATTTGCTAGCCTACATAGCTGAGGGAGCTAAATCCCTTGGGCTTGATGAGGAACATAAATTCCTCAGGCTCAAAGCGCAAAGATGATGGCAGGCATAGCAAGATGTACTTCCTCATTTATTAAAAAAAAAAAAATAAAAGAAAAAAAGAAAAAGAAAAAAAAAGAAAAATAGAAAAAAATCCCACCCTAAGCTAACAACTATATATTTATAATGTGAGCACATAAATTTTGCAGACTAGCTTCTGTAGTGTTTTATTGTCTTTTTTTTTTTTTTTTTTTTTTTTTTTTTGTCCCAGTCTTTTTTCTCTTCTCTCTTCAGTAAATTTCCCCCAAGAATTCTGTCAAGGTTTGGCTCATAAATAGAAATGAGTTTTGTAAAGTTCCTTCATACACAAGGCAAGCAGTGACTTTATCAAATGTTCAATGCTAAGTGATCTGTGTGTCTTGATATTACTGTTTTGGAAGATATTTTACAGAACACCTGTCTTCCTTTAATCAAAGTTCATACACAGAGATGCAATTTTTTTTTTTTCTAAATCTGGCACTGTATCATGTGGACTTCCAAACTGGGATTTTGTTCTGTATCAGGAGGTTGTATATCTGTGGCTCTACACCATTTTTATTGTAATTAATAATATTACAATGATTAATATTATAGTAATTTATACCATTGCAATTATAGAAATTATTATAATTACTAATAATTAATGACAGTATAGTTATTAATATTCTTATTTTGCCACAGCCTCTTTTTAAAAGGTAACTCTTTTTCTATTAATAGGTCATCGAACATTGTTCATTGGTGTTCACGTGCCACTGGGTGGAAGAAAAAGTCACAGGCGCCATAGGCACCGTGGACATAAACACAGAAAAAGAGACAGAGAACGAGATTCAGGATTAGAAGATGGGAGAGAATCTCCTCCATTTGGTAAGTTAGATTTTACTTTTGCTTTTTTTTTTTTTTGCAATAAACATCAATACAACTGTGCAAGAGCTGTCCCCCTGTTGTGGTTGTGACAGGCCTGGAAGCAGGATTTTGGAAACCCCACCAGAGTCTCTCTGGTCTCTGCTGAAAATACAGGATTTGTTTCTCTGATGAATGGCAGTAGCCGGAGGTGGTCAGTTCACAAGAAACCTCACTAATCCCTACAACTGTATGAGTCTGTTCGTGAGTGTTTATAGAAAGGTAGAGTGCGATGACCATCTAGAGAGGGTACGTGCTTTCTGGCACTAGTAGAGCTCCATGAAAGCGCTGGAATGTTTACCCCTAAAACATAACATAGAGGTCTGCTCCAATTTATAGGAGGGAGATGAGGTTCTTTTAATATCTGCATACCCAGCGTGAGATTAAGAAACAATGGTTCAAATATTGGTCCAACCGGTTTGTTGTAAATCCTGACAGACACCTTTGTTCTTCATCATTGTGGTAGAGCACAGAGGAAGTCCAGGAGGGAGAGAGGCAAGTCGTGAGGCTTCTCATGTCAGAAACCTCCTCTTCTTCATGAGGAATCTGTTGCCAGAAAACCTAAACCTCATAATTGTAGGTCCCCATTTTATCCTTCTTTTTCTGCCTATGTGACATCCCTGGGTGCTTGAGCAAGAGTCATGTGAGTACCCCCTGAGATGGCCATCTTCCTCGAGATAAGCTCACACAAAAGTCCACTTCGTGGCCATTGAGCTGCACCTTATCTCTCTCTCGTTTCCCCTGGCTTTGTCCATCTGTGTCCCTCAGACAAAGGATTTCTCAACCCTTGCCCAGGACTTGCTTGGACTTGTTCATCTGTGTCCCCAGCAAGCTTTGAGACAATGATGTAAAAGAATAATCTCCTACAAGGAGTTGCGGTTCTTTACAATTAGTTTACAATTAGTTTAGTTTTAATACTGCTGATGTCACTGAATCTGTAGTGTTTTAAGATAAAATATCATCTAGATTGTGCCTTTTTCCTTAGATAGTACTCTAAGATGCTATTCTGAGACAAGCCTACTGTGCACTTGAAGGCAAAGAGAAACAAGTATCTTTCAATGAACAAATCTTACAAATGATATAAAAATCCTAAAACTTTCAGATTTTTAAATAAAAAAGTACATTACATAGAACAGGAAAAAAAAGTGGTAATGAGTAGATGAGGTAAGCTCTGTCTCAAGACAAATGAGAATATTCTTTGCTCTTCACAAATAAAAAGTGCATGTGCTGTAATGTCCAAGGCTATAAATAAGAGCTGAAATTTAATGGAAGCATGTATAAGAAACCAGTTGTCAGTGTGCAAGAGAAAGTTTTTAAATCATTAGGGAAATGTACCAATGTAATTTCAGTTTACAGAATAGTAATTATAAGATGTTCTTAAAAGCTGAAGTTTGTATTATGTAATCAGCTTGGTTTGAAGCAAATATGTTGTGTAAATGCTGGTAGTTAAGTGTACAGTAAACACCTTGAAATGCTCAAATATTTCACATATTGAAAATGAATCAGAAAGTAAAAACTTTTTCAAATGTAGTAAATATGAAATGCTTTGAAAACTGAAAAAAGGTTTGCTGAATTGTTTCCATCTGGAATACATTTCAAATGCATTGTAGAAGATTCTACATTGTATTAAAATCAGTTTCTTGGAAAACAGCAAGAGTTCATAAATTACTAAAAATGGTTTTCAGAAAGAATATGCATATATATATATATAATATCAGATTAAAAAGAAACAATGAAAAGTTACATTAACCAAGAAGTGAGATGTCTTAAAGTATGAAGCAGTGTCTTCTATTGAGTCGTCTGGTTTTATTTAATTGCCAATATGTAATGTATTTTGGCAGAAAACTTAACTCTGTTCTTTTAACTTCTGGAGTCCTAGGCCCATGTCCTTCCTAATGTCAAAAGCAAAAATAAACTGAGATGGCTCAGTCTAATAGTCTTTGACAGCGTGCAAATAATAATATGCATTCTTGAATACAATTATTTTCAAACTGAAAATTAACCTGTTTTCTGGGGAGCTCCAAGAGTGGAATGGCAATAATTTATATGTGCATACATAAATACACACACACACATACACATATATATAGAAGGTTTTGAAGTGCGTAAGTTAGTGAGCTTGTCTGGAGGTGTACTTGTTTGAAATAAGTGTAAGACTGCACATTTGTGAGTCAAGTTTTCACTTATGATTTTTCAATTATGACTGCCATGTAGAGGGTGTGTAGGTCATGGCACTTAAAATTATTACTTTTGTAATGACCAGGATAGATAAGATATAGGCCAGAAATGTCTTGATCTTCTCCAGAGCCAGAATGCTGAAGATATTCTTTGAAATGCTGAAGTGATTACAATAGTCTTTGTAAGAGAGCCAACAGCAGAGCTATTAAACACTGGTAAAAATCCGGGAATATCCGGTTTTTGACCTTAAAACAATATCTAAGTAGTAAAATTTGAGGATTCTTCCCCTCAGCCTCACCATGAAACCAAACTTTTACTAAGCTTTGGCATCTGTCTATCCAGGTATAAAAGTGACACCACATAGACCAAATCAAGAGAGATTTGCCTTCATAATGCTTAAAATTATATGGCATTTTAGGGGTTAAGTACAGTCAGAGCAAATTACAGGCAGACAAAATTATTCAGGAATTAATGGTAGTCTACATCTACACTCTTGTTTTTGCTGAGGATTTTCTTTACAGGAAAATTTTAGCAGCTTATGCTAAAACCTAGATAGAGCAAAAAGAATTTTTTTTTTTTTATAATTTATTTTCTGAGAGGGAGTGAAGGATAATTCCCTTACTAAATCTGCATCCACTGAACTTCAGTAATATTTCTTATCTCTTATTGCCCATGGCCACATGGTTATAACAGTACCCAGGGGCTCAAGGAAGTTGCAAAGAAGACAAATGCACTTTATTCTCTCAATGCATAACTTGGCATGAGGGCCAGTGCTACCTAAGAGAACAGATCTGAAATAATCCCTTTTATTTATTTATTTATTTATTCTTACTTAATCGAACATACAGAAATGCTTTACTGCCTCTCATCATAGTCCCCTTTTAACACACGTGCCCTGAATAGTAGAAGGCTGCATTTTTGGGAGTTTAGGAGGAGGATGGTAAAGAAAAAGCATTTCAACAAGCAGGTGCAAGAAAGGAACAGGAAAAAAGGCACTGTGAGACTGGCTTATAGAAAATAGTGCTTCTAAGTAAGTTATAAAGATACAGGATGACTTTTACAGTACAAGAGAATAAATTAGCAGTGTTTTGAAGTTGCAAAGTATTAAAGGGAGGCATAATAAAACCAAAAGGTGTGAGAACTGAATAATACAGATGCTGGAAGAAGTAAAGGCCTGAAATATTCAGACATGAAGTGCTCCAGAGTGCAGTTTACCAAGTGTGAGATAAAGCATTTTTTCTGTGTGGTGGGTCATAATTTATAGGTGCATAATTTGTAACTTCGTCTATGTGGTTTCATTAGGAGTTGCATTTGCATGATGCCAGGGGCTGCACAGGCCACCTCTCCCACTAATCTGGTGCCTGCCTAGCTTTTAATTAGTGGGAGACAGAACTTTAAATTCCTTGTATCAACGTGGGTCTGAAACACCTGCGCTGAGTGCCCACAGTTGGAAGATTTTAGGTAATCCCTTTCAATCATGGCTGAGAAAGCTGTACCAGCTACTTTCTGAGGGATTGTTTCTGCAGATCATAGATTTTAATATATTTTTTTAGAACATTTGCATGGCAGCTCATAAAAGCTTTTCTAGAAAAAAAAAAAATGATCTCCTACTGTCACTTTTCAAAAATAACCCAAATGTTTTCAATTTGCAATTTCAGAGTTTGTAGACAAATAAAATGTAGATTATGTAGTTAGTGGAGTAAAAAGGAGTGAGCCCTGTCACTTGAGGGCGCAGAATACTTACGGAAATGGGTTTTTTTCTTTGTTTTCTCTACATCTGTGTCTTGCTGCCTGTCTGTTCACTCTTAATGATGGTATGAGTTTGTCCAAGTTGTTTGCACTTGCTATAAGGATGTGTCTTTGTATAATTTTCAGATTACGTGGCTTGCTCGTGGAAAGGTTTTTTGGGTTTAAGAATTTAAGCTAAGCAACTACAAGATCTTGATTTTGACTATCTCACCTCATAATTCATAGAAGGAAAAGAGAAATCCAGTGAAATTATCCACTCTAGTTAAAGTACAGAAATGCTGTTTGCTCTGCTGAACAGGGATGAAACACAGCTGTTGTAATTAAGGTTCCAGTTTCATGCTGGTGTTAAGCTCCCCTCCTCCACTGTTTTCTTTGTGGTGCAAGTACAGTGGCTGTTCTGTGAATTAAATTAAGGAATTGATTCAAGTTAAAACTAATTTGGCAAAAAAGCTGTCTTTAGTCTAGAGCAGCCCCTCGGTGCTGTTTGTTGGGAGGGTGATGGGAGCCACAAGCTAAGTGGGGACAACGCTGTCAGCTAACACTGCTGATTGTGGTGGCACTGAAAAGGCAGCACAGGTTATCCCTTTGCTGGCAGGTTATTGCTTGCTTGCTATGCAGATTGATTTTACTGGCAATTTTCTGTGTTTTCTATTTGAAAATGGGGTAGAATAGGAAGACATCAGCTCTCTGTACTATGTCATTAAGTACAGGTTTGATGAGGGTAAAGTGAATGCAGCTGTGAGGATCTGGGGTTTGATTACAGCCTCCTGTGGTGTCCTCTGAAAGAGCAGACACTGGTGAGACTAGTGCCAGTTTTGCTTTGCTGTCTTGGAAACTAGCTTTAATAATTATCTAGTTTTAAAGAGATTTAATCTTGTAACTCATTATAGTAGTTATGGTAAGCAGTCCTGGAAGTGAAATGAGCAGAGGAGTGTACGCAGGTTTCAGGAAAGGTGCTCTGAAGGTAAGACCAGCAAAAGCTTGAATTGTAAAGTGGGATTTTTCTCAGTAGAGGGGCTTGTGGAAAAGTGTAATCA